GTCCATGATAGGTCAACTAAAATTTTTATCTTGCTCGTCATTTCAACACTTTTCGTGTTTGACTAATATTGAAGACAGACCCAGGCTGCATTATTTGAAATAGAGATCCTATGAGAAAGCTTTATCCCTCTCCTTCTGTTGCATGAGTTCCTCTCATTTGGAAGTACCGAGGATAGAATTTCCCACCCTTAGTTTCCTTGTTCTAACCCCCACCATCACTTCATCTGTAAATAACCGAGAAAAGGTGCTCCCACAGGAAGCACTTATCATTTACCGTGCTGGGGAGTCGGCTGCCTTTCCTGGAAGAAGCCCTGAGCACCTCCCGGGTTATGAAGGTGCTCCACCCGCCCTGAGCACCTCCCGGGTTATGAAGGTGCTCCACCCGCTCTCAGCACCTCCCGGGTTATGAAGGTGCTCCACCTGCCCTGAGCTCCTCCCAGGTTATGAAGGTGCTCCACCCGCCCTGAGCACCTCCCGGGTTATGAAGGTGCTCCACCTGCCCTGAGCTCCTCCCAGGTCATGAAGCTGTCCTGCTGGTGTCTGCCCACTGGTAAAAGTGCAGTTCAGGCAGGGGTAGACCCTCCTCTTACACAAGTTGTGCTCTCTTAAGACAGCTTTAACTAGAATACAATTGGCAATACACTGATTCACATATGACAATTGTGTCTAATTTTGATTGTTTCATAAACCCTAAAAAACAAGCACATGATTAAGTGAAGATTTCAAGACTGCACATACAATGTAAAAGAGATGCATGTGTGTTTGAGAAAGGGGGAGAAAAAAAGAGTATAGAAGTATTATATTTATGCTTTTTTAACCTAAATACTAAGTGAGGGGGCATGATCTAGTCTCTTTTTATACTGTAAAGTGTAATCTAAAAATACCAAAAAACAAAAAAACCCATTCACCCCTCCAAAAAAAAAAAGAATAAAATGCTTTTTGGGAGGGCAGGGTCTCACTATGCATCTCTGGCTGGTCTGTGACTCAATATGCAGACCAGAATCTGCAGACCAGAGATCCACGTGCCTCTGCCTGTGGAGTGCTGGACTTAAGAATGTCAACCACTAAGCAATCAAAAGCTACCAGGCAATCAAAAAGAACAAATTAAACAATCATTAATTTTTGAGTTTGACTTAAGTTTTATTTAGGCATAATGTATTAGAGATTTGGAATCTGATGTTTTTCATGAATAAAGTAATTTAAATCTACTAATCAATGTTTTACAAATGTTTATGTCAAATGAGTAACATCACGAATGAGTGTGACCATGCATTTTAATAGGCATGCCCAGTAGGCAGGGTACATTTCTGCATAGTGTTCTCTGTCAATTTTATTTGAAATTATTTTAGCATCTGATGAAGATTACTTACCATTTTTTATAGAAAAAGTGTGTGCATATGTTCACAGAAGTTTTTCAAGCTCAGGCAAGTAGGTCTGCATCTCCAGTCAAATGTCATCACCCCTCTTTTATGTCCTGAGACCTTTGCATAGCGTCTTTGTTTAAATGACAGGAATCAAAGCAAAAGAACATTTTGGGCACATGAAATTATATAAAATTTGAATTCAGTTTCCTAAATAAAGTTGCATCCAAATCTAGCCACAGCCATATCCTGTATTTCTACATTCTTTAGTTAGAGTGGAAGGCAGCCACACACATGCCTTATCACACTGTACAGTTGTCGTAGAATGTGCCCTTATACAAGCCTTTGCACACTGTGGAAATTGCCATGGGCATATGTCTAATTACAGTAGAGTGAGGCCGTGCTCATGCGCAGCACACTGGCTAGCTGCAGTGGAGTGAGGCCGTGCTCATGCTCAGCACACTGGCTAGCTGCAGTTCAGTGAGGCCGTGCTCATGCGCAGCACACTGGCTAGCTGCAGTGGAGTGCAGTTACG